AGGGAACTAATTGTGATTGATTTAAAGGGAATGTTGTTTATTATTACTAACCTGATTTTTCAGCTTAATAACTAAGCCAACTGTTGTATCTTAAGTTGATACTGTATGTCGACCTTGGCAACTTAAGTTTCTCACCTGTCATGTCAACAACAATTTTAAAGGACTTTGTTTAAAGACAAGCTAAAGTTAGAAACAACCATGATGTAATTGAACCTCTAAGTGCATGTCAACAATAGCAACATCATGGACTATAATATCCCTCACCATCATTGTCAGAATGTTGGCTTATTAAAAAGCATGTTGACAGGAATGTTTGTAAGTGTGTTGTCCTTTTAATTACACATGGGACTGCAAGGCTATATTTCATTTCACAAGCAGGCCCTAAGTCTGCTGTGCTTCCATATTTTAATTTGTGTATGGAAGTGTAGGTGGTGTCTGGTCTGAATACAAGGGACCTTTAATGAGTTAAGGGACCCTACCACATCTTTCCCAGACACACACTGACCTTTCAGCCCAGACGGGGCAAAGAGGAGGTGTGTGTTTGCGTGTGAGTGTGGGCAAGATGGAGAAGACCGAGAATGTGTCAGAATGTGTTTACATTTAATGAATTCATTGGTGCCAGTTAACCCAGACCAGTTAACGCTCTCTAGCAGCAGTTTGGTTCTTTTTTGCTAATGTTGTGAGACACTCTAAATGTTTTATCCCATATATATATATATGGTTTTATTAATAAAAGGGGTTGTATTCACTTAAGGATTCATTCAAAATCTCATGCTTTTTCTTAGAATGCTATTCCGAACCATAGTGCAGGTGCTCAAGCAACTAAGTTGAACAAATGATATACACTTTATCCAAAATAATATTAGCAAATGAAAGTTTTGATTACATCTTATGAACTGTTTTAGCAGAGAACGTCTCTGTTTTTGTTAAATGTTGTATTCGTGTTTAAATGTTTTAGTATTTTTAGTCCATTGAGATTTGCATATTGGCAAAAATAAAGACAAAAGAAACAGTACACATACTAAATGTACGTAATATCAAGATTGCTTTTTCAATCTGTGATTATAAATATATTGTTTAACTGTCAACTTCTATGATGTATGTATTAAATAAATGAAATGACAATCAAATCCATCCAAAAGTTCACAACGGATACCCGTGAAAAAAATGAAGCAAATACAATATTGAAAACAATTAAATAAAAAACGTAATTTTTTTAAAAATCCACACTACCCTTTCCTATAGAAAATCTGAAAAATATTGACTTTTTGAGGCCTTACACTGATGTCACCGTGTCATGTCGCATCAAAAGTAGTAGCCAAAACAATAGACAATGCATCATCATCACAAGTGCCTATGTATTCAGTCTGCAGGTCTGAATGCTCTCAGCATGGCTCTCCTCCCTTAAATGGAGCAGGGGAGAGCCGGCTTCCACACCCTCCCTCCATCCCTCCACTCCCTCTTTCTTTCTCAATGTGAAACGCCTCGAGCATCCACGGCGCAGAACGGTCTCTAATCAATTTGTCTGTGAAGGCGCAGCGTCACACTCAGAGTACCACAATGCATTTCTCTGTCTCTTAGTGACATTGCACCCCAACCCAGAACACCTTAGGGAGCTGAGAGAATCCTCTGCTGGGATAAAGAATGGGATGACCCCTGAATCAAAAAACAACAACATCAACAACAACAATATAACTGTAATTATGACAAATATCACAGACAGTGCATACTACTTCAACATGACAGTAACAAAAGTGTCAGTACAACTGTTGCTACTATTAAGACACTGTAATAATACAATTTACTACCTTTGCGGTTACAGATTTCCAAATCAAATAATTTGAATGACATTTTTTTACAGGAATTTCATTTGATGTGTATATATATATCATTCTTTTTAAAATGTATTTCCGTGGATGCTTTTTTTAATTGTTTTAAATATGTTTATATTTATCTATTTAACTTAACTTTGATTTTAATATCTTAGCCTATGTGTTGTATTTAACTGTCATTCTGCACTATCCCTTAGCTGTAAGAAAATATCATTTCACAGGACAAATAAGGGATTTATATATTTTTATTTCGGATAATACAACTTTTTGAAAGGATTAGGTAATAAAAAAAAGGAGTCAAATCAAAAACAGAGACTAATTTATCAACACATTTGCTTCCACCCATACCAAACTGTCCTTTGGCGTTGTTACATGTGTGTGTGAGTGCAGGGTCAATGAGTAATTACAATGCGGCTGTAGCAGCTCTTTAACAGAATGTTACCTCAACACACTGCTGCTGATCTATGGTGGTGCCATGCTGAGTTACACAAAGCCAACACTGACCTGCTGTTTACAGCCTGACCCAGCATCTGTATGCTTCTGTTTGCTGCCACCCGCCGTGTGTGTGTGTGTGTGTGTGTGTGTGTGTGTGTGTGTGTGTGTGTGTGTGTGTGTGTGTGTGTGTGTGTGTTTGAGTGGAAATGTCCCAACCACACATGATGGGTAGTATCTCCTGTTTCACAGCAAGGTCACAAACAGATAGAAGAACAGAGTTGGGAGGGTCACTTTAAAAATGTATTCTGTAACAATAACGTGTTACCTTTAGAAAAAAAGAAGATACACGTTTGCACTAACACACACATACACACACACACACACACACACACACACACACACACACACACACACACACACACACACACACACACACACACACACACACACATGTCATTGTCATACATGCACACAAGGTGTTTCACACATTTCCAATTCACTCCATTCACAGAGCAGTTCAGGCAGCTCAAATGGATACGTGGGTAACTGGCCGAGCAGTTGATCAAAGCTCCACTACAGCATGGTGTGTGGCGTCGGTGGCAAAATGTGGCTCGGTGCACTTCAGAGGTAAAGCTCTGTAGCGGGCGGACAAGAGATCCACAGGTACATGAGTCCTTTTGCAAAGTTCCCCATTGTAAATATAAAATAATTGTATTTTTTCATTTATTTTTGCATTTCTTTCCTTCTAAGACTGCTGTGTCCATAAACCACATTTCTAAGTTTGCAATATATCCTGTGTCCATTCACTTCTATTCATTTCCAGTTTGCCAGCTTGCAGGCTTTAAAATTAAACACATTTTTAAAACTCGGGTTTGCTCCTTCATGGTAAAAGGCACTCTTACATTAAAGACTGAAAGCATACAATTAGTTCCAATTCTGCCCAATTTCCTACTTTATTTTCATCAAAGTAATAATTGTGGTTAGTAAATAAGGGCCTTGGAAAGCTTCAAACCAAGAGCTTGTCAGATTAACCATGGATATTTCTAATATGTTGGTAGCTGCAAATCTTTGTTCGTAAAATCACATCAACAAAGTAATCGTGTATGCTGCTAGGTGAGGCTTGAAGGCGGGTTTTATATTCCTTATGTGTATATAAAAGAAAAGTCCAATTTTTCATGCACATTGTCTGTTATTTTATTTATAGGTGCTGTTAAATGCAGGTGTTATACAGCAGCACACAGGACTGGGTCAGGATCTGCACACTTTTCTAAGGCTGGTTTTAACCTACTTAGGTGCAAGATACAGGACAGGGTAATATGACCAGTTCTTTTTAGATCCTTTATTTTAAAAAGGACATGTTGTGCTCATTTTCAGGTTCACATTACCTTTACTGTGACATGTCTCCATGCTTTAATGTTCGGTAGGGAGGGGGAACTTTTAGCCTTTGCTGACCACGTACACTGTCACTCTCGCTGAGTTTCATAATTGTAAGTGTTTTGTCAGTACATTTGAAATGACTAGGTTAGCTACGTTAGCCAGCTAGTTTACAGTAGATCTGCAATAATATTGGAAGGAATTATGCGATCACATTGTTTATATAAGCCCATACAACTTACATTTTAGAGAGTGACATTTCAAGTGACAGTGATTGTTGGCCTTCTTCATAATGCTGTCAACAAGCTGTGTGCATCACTTCTTAGTGTCCTCATGTATTGTTTTGAGCATTTTGTGTTTGCAGCGTATGGTTTATGCACTGCTTCTAGTAAGCGCTGCGCATGTGTTGTCAATATTGTGAAGATTTTGCATGTTCTTTGGCACTTTTGTGTTTCCATGTTTGCATTGTTTTTGAAAGTGCAGCCATTTCTAATAATAACTGTTTTGAGCCGTTTTAGCGCCTTTGCCTCTGTTGGCCACCGCACATTTATATGCAGAAAAAAAACATATAACAAACAACAGGAAAAGCATAAAAGGGCCCCTTTAAACACTGATCATTGCAATAACACACTCTTTAGAGATGTGACTGCCAAAGGGATGGAGAGAGTGATACCGATAGACACCGAGACAGAGACTGAAGAAAATGTTAAAGATAGAAGTGACAGGGAGAGACTCAGAAAAAGGGGGGATGAAGTGAAAGAAAGAAAGACAAGAGGGGGTAGAGTGAGGAGCCTTTAATTGCTTGGAGGGAGCATGACAATTGAGAGGGGAGTAGAGGGAGGAAAATCTCCAACAGTATTGATCAGTCCAGCTCTTCCATTTCAGTTGCCCCCAACCCCCCCCCTGCGTCTCCCCCTTCACCCAATTTGCACCCGTAATTTAGATTGGAGTGTGTTTGTGTTGGTGTGTGTGTGTGCATATGTGTGTACGTTGAGGTCATTTTGCACACTGTTTGTCCTTCACTTTGTGCCTACATCTCTTTTGTATTCATTTACTTGTTAATGCACCTGTCTATCACGTGTCAATGCAGAGGATCCTGAGGTATCGCCAGACAGTGCGACAAACAGAGTGGACACTCACTGTGTGCGTGTGTGTGTGTGTGTGTGTGTGTGTGTGTGTGTGTGTGTGTGTGTGTGTGTGTGGGGGGTGTTCATAGATTTGTTTTTTTCTTACATCAAGAGCGAAATTGTACTGTGTAATGACCTAACTTAATGTATGTGTGTGAAATTAGATGTTTTTGGGGCCATGTGATGCAGTGTGTATCTGTGAATGTGTGTTATCTGAACGTGTGTGTAGCAGGTGACGGGCATGGTGGTGTCGGTGGGGGGGTAACCTTCCTGATCGATTCTCTTTCTCCCTTTGGAGTGACCCCACACCTCCTCCTGCGCCTCCTCCTGAGCCTAATGAGAGGCTCCTCATCATGGGACCAACACACACACTTACACACACTCAAAAAACCCTATACACGAAAAACAACTATGAATTAGAAAATCATAAACAGCATGTATGTGTGCATGCTCTGACAGAAATCTATAAATATGCTTAGATATACCATAATGAAGCTCACACACACACACACACACACACACACACACACACACACACACACACACACACACACACAACACACACACACACACACAACACACACACACACACACACACACACACACACACACACACACACACACACACACACACACACACACACACACATTCACTGTCTCTGCAGGGGGGTCAACGTCAAGGCTACGACCTTCCACCCCTGTCTCAGCCCCAGACTGAATCGATTCCTAATCAGACAGACCCCCCCTCACCCGCTATGAGCCCCCCTCCCTACACACAATGACCAGAGCCCTGCTGGTTGTGAGGGACCACCAGAAACGTAAAAGACTGCGGCCGTGACATGGATGTATAAAGAGAACTGAATACAGCGTTGTATTCATTCATTCCTATAAAAGTTGCTCGGTGCCGCATGAAGCCTAAAAGTCCTGAGTCTTATACATACAGTATACAAATAATCGTATGTGGGCCCATAGCATGCACACTTGCATTTTTCTTTAGCCCTTCCTCCAATTCTGGTGGTCTCGGCCCAGTCAAATGAATGAGTGGTGCAGTAATGAGTCCTAAAACCTGGAGACATGGAAAAGTCTTAGGATGTTACCATTTCAGGTTCCCTTGTCCCGAAGTCAATGTTTTTTTTAACAAGTTTCTGATTAGGAGCCTGACTTAAGGTCTGTAGTAAAAAAAGCTTACAAGACTCACGTTTTATGCTACGATATAAAATACGCCAGGAAATACTCCACTCGTTAATGTCCGAAGATTCTCTGTGTCATAAAGGTGGCCGTTGCTAACAAGTGACTAAGTGAGACATAAGTAAAGTCCACACGAGTCCACCTTTACCTTATCGGTGGTGGTGGGCATTGATGCGACTGTGATTCAGTTTACGCTTCAAAATGTGCTGTTTAATATATGGAGATTATCCAGCTGAACAAAACATGTTGAGTATCATAAACTTGTGTTGGCCACAAAGCATTTTCTGTAATTTACCAAATTCCAATGGGGAGCCATTGGATGCTAACTTCCGGGTCGTCCAACAAAAAGACGTCATCACTGCCCACTCTTTGGAGAGAGAAAACTAGGCAGGATAGTAAAACACCTAAATCCAACAGACGGGTACAGTTTGCTGTTAGCATGTTAACTAAATGCCATGAGGCGTCTCCACTCTTTCTCCCTAGGCCTATAGCTTGAATTCATATAATTCTTAAATTCAAAATGCCAAAATGTTTCTTATCTATAGGTTTTTCTATACACAATATATTGCACACAGGTATTATTGCTGATAGTACTTAAAAAACACAACACTATATATTTAAAGGATGACAGTTATGTCTGAGGGGTGAGGAATGAAATAATGGTCCCAGCCCCCTCTCATCAGTGAGGATAATCCTAGTGTCATTTTGGCCATGTATGTTGTAGTGTGTTGGTCACTAATGCCCAATGTACAGCAGACATGGTTTAAGGCAATTCTTAGAAATGTAGAGAAAATACAGTAGTGCTTGCTTCTTTGTGTCCAGTACCCGAACCCTAACCCTTTTAATAATGTCAAATCGGTAAAACTATTATATCAAATAATCAAATGTATGGACAACGCAGCAGGACTGCATTAGGCCTTTAACACAGTATATTGTAGCATGCTTGTACCATGCCGGGTGTTGTGAGCTGAGCGCTACAAAGAGTGATTTATTCCCACTGAAAAAAAGCCCCGTTCCATATTGAGCACCTTTCATCAGCCTCTTTAAAACACTTTGGCCCTGTTAAACCATGCAGTACCTGACCGCGCTGCTCAAACTGTTTATTTGACTTGCCGCTGAGAGTACTGCTGTGTGTGTGTGTGTGTGTGTGTGTGTGTGTGTGTGTGTGTGTGTGTGTGTGTGTGTGTGTGTGTTCATACTGGCGTTAGACCTTGCTTCCTTCCATCCTGTTAAAGGGGACGGGGTCCCTTTGCCCACCAACGCTTTCCTCCTCTGGGATTGCAGTTTCAGTGTGTGTGTGTGTTTGTGTGTGTGTGTGTGTGTGTGTGTGTGTGTGTGTGTGTGTGTGTGTGTGTGTGTGTGTGTGTGTGTGTGTGTGTGTGTGTGTGTGTGTGTGTGTGTGCTCTTGACACTTGGCTGAGCAGGGTGGTCCTAGAGGACTAGTCTATCGGTCTACTTCCTGATTCTCAGAAACACACACACACACACCTGCAACATCACACTAGCCAAGCACACTCAATATAACCCAAACACACTGGCTGACCCTCTCTTTTTTTCACACCCGTCCTTCCCTTCTCTGTTATCTTTTCTGCAGTTTACCAGTTTTTTTCTTGCCCCTTCTCGATTACTAAATGATGCAGTTACTTTGCTTTCTCACAAACACACACACTCTCATTGTCTGTCTCTTCCTTACACACTCAAACAAACAAACACACCGAGTGAATTGGGTGTGTGTGTAGGAGCACGGGGATGGTTTCAATATTGCATCATTGGGATGCGGCACGGCTGTGTTTGGGGTCAGAGAGCTATCATGTTGCCAATCAGCAAGGCAGCTCAGAGCCCTCATCAGCTTTTGATTGCATTTAGAATGGCTAATTAAATAAAATATGACATTATGTAAATGTCTGTGTCTCTGCCATATGGCCCAAGGCGCTGGCCCCCCACCCCCACCCCCGCCCCGCCCGCCTGCAGCACACCAGGGGCAACCTGTGCTCTCCATACGTGTGTGTGGATGCGTGTCCGTCCACATTGTGTGTGAAAGAGATTGAAGTGAGTGAGTGATGGTGCATTAACAAAATAAGGGCTTTTCAAGATGGTATCTCACAAGTTTACCTTTTTTATTTTACAAATAGGGTTTCTGACAGGTCTGAATTAAAGGTGCACTTGAATTTGTACAAAAGTATTCAGGCTTTCCCCTCTCTTGGCTTAAACTAACCTGAAATAGCCCTAAACGGGGTTGTTCCTTTCCTGTAATGGTCTGCAAAGGCTAAAATCCCAAAGTTCCCTCCAGGGGGAATTTCTCTCCCACACACTCCCCCCCTGCCTGAAACGCCTCCATTGGACTCCTTTGTTTCACTATGTCACACTGGCGTTTCTATTGGCTAGCATTTCAACACATTGTACTTAAGTTAAGTTAAAGCCTTTTATTGTCCTTATACACAAAGTATAACGAGATTCAGAGTGCAACTCTTTCCCTGTGTGCAAAAAATACAAAACATAACACTAAAAAACACGGCAATAGGACAGACAACATAAACAATCATACTGGGGAATAAATAGTTAAAGATATTGATATAAAAATAGTAAATAAAGTGCATTACAAGTGTGTGTATGTGTGAGAATGGTTACGGTTATTGCATTATGTGTGGTGGTTAAGCAGCCTTGACGGCCCAGGGGTAGAAACTGTTTTTGAGTCTGTTTGTCCATGACTTGAAGCTCCTGTATCTCCTCCCAGAAGAGAGAACAGTCTGTGACCTGGGTGAGAGCAGTCCTTTATTATGTTGTTAGCTCTGCTGAGGCAGCGGGAGGTGGAGATGTGTTCCAGAGAGGGCAGGGGGCAGCCGATGGTTTTCTCTGCCATCCTGATCACTCTCTGCAGGGCTTTCTGATAGGCTAAGGGCTGGGACATCTCTTAGCGTTTGACCAATTACAACAGAGCCGGCCAGCTAACCAATCACAGCAGACTGGGCTCTGGTTTCAGACAGAGGGTGAAAAGAGGTGCTGCAGCACAGGCAGTATGAGAATTTATTTTTATTTTTCAACATTAAAGCATGGAGACATGTCACAGTAGAGGCACTAAATACAAATATGACCCTGAAAATGAGCGTTATGTGTCCTTTTTTAAAAGTTGGGGTTGGCAAAAGCACAGTCTGTACCTGTATAAAGGAGCAAATGCATTTTTTGATTGCTTGATTATAAGCAATTATATTGGATTTACCAGCTACGATTTAACCATGCACAGGGCCCTCCCTACAGGCCAATCACGCAGGCTGCATGGGGCCACGCCTTGCGCAGGGGGCCCCGCCCAGAGGGCCTCAGCTGCTGTGCGCAGTTCTCCGCTCAGTTCTCCGCGCCATCCCCCCCCCCTTACCTCTCGCTGACACGCGAGAGGTGACAAGGGGAGCACGTCTGTAACCCGACACCATTGCAATGAATCGACATCTGACCAATCACGGCTTTGATACGGCCACTAGTGCAGGTGAAGAGATGTCGGTGAAAAGACAGTTTCAGTCCGGAGCAAGCAAGAGGGGAAAAAAACAAAACATGAAGAAACTAGAGCATCACTCGAAGGTGGGTTATTGTTTGAGTCAAATGTACAAGGTGACCACCTGCCCCTAATCACCAGTCGCCACTGGGTAAGGCAGACAACATGTTTTTGTTAGATTTGAGGGAACTGAACCTTTCAGACTGAATAGTCTGCCCCTCCACGTGAGGTCGGCCCAGACACTAGGGGTTTTTCAATCTACACTAAAAACACACTTTTTCTCTCTGGCCTTCTAGTCAGAGCGGAGCATGACACCTGACTATTCCCTGTGTTATTGTTTTTTATATTTCTGTTGTAAATGATTGTCTTTCATTGTGATTGTAGTAATGTGTTTTTATTACAAGTACAGCACTTTGGCTCGACCAAAAATCGCTTTTAAATGTGCTTTATAAATAAAACTTGATTTGATTTTGATTTGATTTGATTTCAAATAATTTAAATCCAACTACTGTAAGATTCAAGGCAAAATTCATGCAGATCGGATTAAGGTGTTCTTCCAGACAATTTCTTAAAGAATAAACATTTTTTATTGT